TGACTCGGTCGAGGTCAGGGGTCAGGGGTCAATGGGTTCGACCGGGGTTGAACCCATTTAAGAACCGGGTGACGTCATCATGATGTCATAAATATGTTTAATTTTAAAAATTAATATGCTATGTAAAATTTCTAAAAATGTAATAATCTTGAGAAAGGTATGTTCATGTATATTTGGTGGTTCTAAGATATTTTACAAGAAAATACAAATAAAGTAATATAGTCAAGTAGCAATCTATATCATTTAATCATATTCAACAAGTTTAGAAGTTAGAACTAAATTAGAGGGCTTATTTGAAAAATAATACTAGAATTTAGGGCTGAAGCTATAAATTATAAAGATTTTTAGGCATGTTTACAGTTTTCTATCACTCTAGGGGTCAAACCATAAAATTGACAAAACTTTGAAACCCCAAAGCTGATTTCCCTAGATCTTTCCGTTCTTTTTTCCCTCAAAGTCTCATAGGCCGTCATCGTCCTCTCCATCCCGTCCTTTCTTCTCCAGAGTCCAGATCCAGACGCATTCCTCCTTCTGTTTTTTTTTTCTTTTGTCCCTTTTTCACTTCTATATCTTTGCATTTCTTTTCTATTTATCACATGAAAATCATCAACACTATTTTTTTTGTTGGGCGAGAATCATCAACTCACATTAAGTTTCTTCTGTCAAATGCTGAAGCTGGGTCTGCCAAAGGAAAACGTGGCTCAACTATAAATGATTTCTAGACACAATCTGGAAAATCATCAATTTCTCTTCTTTTTTTTTTTCTCAATTCTCTTAATTTTAACTTTAGATCTTTCAATATTTGTGTTAGAATAGCCATATGTGACTATACCACTGCTGTTGCCGTCGAATCTGCACTCAAGGATCGATATCCATGCTGAAAATTTTGGTAGAAACATAGCAGAAATTGGATGTTAGAAAAAAAAATCTGGTAAAAATAGCAGAAATTGGATGCTCAAAAAGAACCGGGTTTTCCCGGTTGTTCCAAGTTTCCGGTCAAACCCGGATTTTGACCGGTTTTGACCGAGTCTTTGTCACCCGAGTTTTTGAACAAACTCGGACCGGACATGTCTCCGGTTCCCGGTTCAACCGGTCGAACCGGCCGGTCCGGTCCGAGTTTAAAAACATGGGTCCCAAGTCATTGACCAATTCATAGAGGAAGTTGGTTATATCTTTTGTCTAGCTAATTAGTTATTGTGTTTTCATTTGTCTGGTACAGTTTTCTCGTCCATTCTTTTTCCCATTCCAAATGCACTAGTTTGCAGCCATTTGCCCTTCCGACTCAAAAGAAGTGACGAGAAAGTGCTGAAGAAGATGAAAAGTCTTTTCATCAATGGTATGATATAAAAGGTTTGCATTGCACGTCGACAATGATGAAAAGCTTGGAGAAAAAGAAAATTAGAGAGTGTCAAAGTTGGCGGAGACCATCTGTTTAAAGAACCAAAGCAGAAAACCGTTGCGAAGAAGATTTTTGGAAGTCACAAATGAAGCAACTACGAAAATTTTTTTGTTTGGATATCACATTATTTTAAATAATATTTCGCTTACATCATAAACATATTTTACAACTCACCTTTTTATATTTTCAACCACATTTTTATCTCACATACATCACATCATAAAAAATAATACAATAATTATTCCAAATAACACTCTGTCCAAACAAATCTGAGAACGTCTCAAGTGGTCACATTCACAAGTTGAAAGTATAACTCGTGACCAAGGAAGTAGGCGTGTGAAATTAAAAATTCTGCCTTGTTGCACCATCAGATGGTTTCTACAACTGTAGGAAAAGTTAATGCTCCGTACGGTGAATCCAATGAACTTGACTTTTTTTTTTTTTTTCTTTCTTACAACAGTAGGAAAAGTTAAAGAATCTAATAGCAGTAAGTATTTAAGAAAAACACCTGCGTTTACTAGTTTGGTGGTAGCTTCCAGCGTGCGAAGTGGGGACTACAATCATAACAACTCCGCGTGGGACCGTTGTCCAATGCCTTATGGGTCCTACGTTTGATTAAACAACTCAAGTCTGAAAAATTTGAAATCTGATTTATAAATTTATTAAATTATTAAATTTAAATAAAATATATTTAAATATATATCACATTATTATATAATAGATAAATAATTTATTACATTTTTTTAAAATAAATTTTATCTAAAAAATTTAATATCACTTGAGTAATTCATTCAAACGTTCTTGTTTTGTTTTCATTCAGAAGTTCTAAACATTTTAATATCTAAATTCATTAAATTTAGATACTTAATTGGTTTATCCTAAGTTAAGGCAACCAACAGGCAACAGCCAATAGTAGTGACTGAGCTATGTAACAGAAAAATAAAACATTATAATATGTATATATATTAGTAGGTTGATAAATTAATCATCATCGATATGAATGCTCAAGTGGGAGACCTTAAAGAGCGCGGAGACAAGAAGTCAAAACTGTCGCAGCCCGTTGACAAAATCCGTTTCTAAAAAAATGAAGGGTAATTACATTTTGCCCCCTTGAACTTGGGCGTTGCAACACTTTACCCCTATAAACTCCAAATATATACATTTTACCTCTTATGATCAACTTTTTGATAGGATTAAGATGAAGTTATATTTTTCATTATCAAAATATACCTAACTAATTCTTAAACACACATAATAATTGTAACATAATAAATAACTATTTCTTTAATAGTTGCTAAATGCATGTAAATACAACTAGACTAAGTATTTCGATCTTTTAGCCTTAAAATGAATTAGATAATTCACAAAAAAAAAAAGTCTAACCAACTCAATGTATTTATTTTAATGCCGATAGCAATACTTATTCAAATAAAATAAAATTAATCAGTGCATTTGGAATGAAAATTATTTGCTTATACTTTTTTATTGCAGCACTTTTTAATGTATTTTATATGAGATAAAAACATGATTAAAAATAAAAAATACATTAGAGAATTTTTTTTAAAATGTAGAATACAAAGCAAGGTATGAATGCGATATAAAATTACCAAATAGCATTTTATTGACTTGTAAAAATCTTGTGACAGCTGCAAAGTAAATGAAAATCATCAAAACTGTTCTGTTTATATTTTAAAGGAAGAAGGATAAGTGATGGAAAACTTGTGCAAATGTTTTAGGAATTTTTAAATTCTTTTTTTCTCCACAATACAATTTTTCAATTATTTGGTATTATACCATCTTTTACTTTTCAATTTTTTAAATCATTCGACCTTATGTTTTTTCTAATAAAATGTTTTATATTCCAATTAAAAGTATAGCATTATTCTAGAACTATTATGTAAGGGCATTAATGTCATTTTGTTAAATTTTTGGATAGAGAATTCATCATTAACATTTGATTAGTCAATAAGGGAGCAAAGTGTATATATATAAAGTTTAGAGGCAAAGTGTTATAACGGGTCAAGTTCAAAGGGACAAACTGTAATTAACCCAAACATGAATCCATCGGCAATAACATTCCAAAAAATTAATTTCATCCAATTTTTAATTACATTTTTTTTGTTCACAATACTAACATTTATTGCTTTCATTAATTGCATGTAATGTAATCACATCTGAATTCCTAATTCTTCCATTCATCTTCACACTCCACTTAATTAACTTATTCCTCTACAATACATATGAGTCATTATTTCTCTTTTTTCATTTCAAAAACAAAATTGCAGCACTATGTTTCAAAAGTCCACCATTTTCTTTCTTCCCGCTCCTATTTTTCTTTCATGTTACTTTGGCACCATTCACCATATATATATATATTCATTTTTGTTGGAGTCCGCATGTACGGAGAGTTTTAAAAATATGTCCAATTATCGGACCATTTTGTGATGACTAATAAATTTGCCAAAAAGGCTTCCCCTGTAATTTCAAAAGGTCTTTTTTCCCAACACGTGAACTGCAATTTTTGTTTGCGTCCCACGAGCAACTGGCCATACCGTACATATTCCTCCGGCTTTGTGGCAGCCTTCCTCTGTCCGGCACCTTACCCAGCAGAAACGTTCACTTTCCACCGCAACCCTAGTATGGTCATATGATATACCCAAGGTAAAACTCGTGACCAAGGAAGTAGACGCGCGAAACCAATAAAAAAATCAAAATAATAGCGTGCAGTTAAACTTATTATCATGAGCACGCTTGTTTATGCCTCTATTATCATTAACATAGTACGTAATGCGCTTTTTATCGTCTCTTTCTTCATAATATCGAACCGGAGACTGCTAAAAGCTTCAAAGTTATGGAATCATAATATTGAAATATCGAGATTTTTCTTTTTCTTTTGAAACAGGGATGCAGAATAATGCGGGACCTACGATTTAAAGAATTGGAAGGACAAGGTACACTAGTTATGTTGCATCAAGGATGCAATAGGGGCCAAGCCAACAACCTCTTCGACACGGGGTGTCGGTATCATCAAGACACAGACATTTAAATCTTGATGGGTAGGAGGTCGGGATTCAACTCTTGCATTGATATTGATTTCTCGTCGATTCCCCGTTTCCAAAAAAAAGATCCCATAGAGGGTAGTGTATAAGTGTTTGGGCTAAAACGTGCAACATGATGGTTTTTTGAATAGTACCAAACAGGAGAGACTAATGTCTTGTTCATTTGGATCACAAGGATCTTTCCCACAACGACGACTTTTACGATGAATAAATGAGTGTGTTTGGATAGAGTGTTATCTGGAATAATTTAACAATGCAAACACACTCTAATAATATAAATATATTGGTGGTTGAAGATTCAAGGTGAATTGGAGTCTAATCTCTAATTCTCCTCACAAACTTCTTAGTTTCCTATGGAGATTTTAAAAGCATAAAAAAAGGCAACTACTTGGATGATGATTGATGAGATGCTTTCCTGTCTAGATTGTCAAGGGCACAAAGTAAACTAATTTGGAGCCGTTGATTGAAAAGCTGGGGCCGACTACGCATTTTCTACCCTTCCTTTTACGTCACATATATTAAGTCAAATGAACCGCTAGTTATACTAATATATTTTGATAACAACCCAAAACCAAACCGGCTCTTGAATTGCAGAAAGCACGCGAAAAGTCGCAGCATCCAGTCTCTGATTGTGACGAGGAAGCGACAATAATATTACAACTGAGATGAGATATATAATCCCGAAATTGAACGCTAGAAGGGGACCACACGCATGCATAATTGAACTTTAAAGTCAACTACGGACAAACAGTTGTCCATTTTATTAGGACGGAAATGTGGGAGACATTTCTTGATGGCCCGTCGTCGTTTTCAGACTGCCCGAGCCCGACTGAGTCTTAACTCCTCGATTTGTGGCCCAGGATAGTGGGACATAAGGCCACCAGCCTACCCTTCACATACTCGCCAGCGCAACTGAACTCTTCAAAAACCATTTTATCAATCCCCATCTCGGTCAACGGAGGGAAAAACAACCACATACCGGTTGAAATCACAAACCCAAGTGTCAACGGGGCCGCAATTAACCGGGGCACCGCCCATTTTCCTCCCAAAGCTGTCTTCAACACCATTTCAATCACAACACAAATTCCATGCAGAACGAAGAACCACGTCACTTCCCAGGAGGGCTTCACACCTGAGAGGTAATAGTATATGAGTTCATGCATTAGACCAGAGACAAGAAAGGTCGCGAAGATGGCAGGCAGTGCGGCTGATCGATTCCCCAGTACGACCGCCGATATTGACCTGACGGGCTTGTATATTGTGTGCCGCAGTGCATTTGTTACTGAGAGGTTCCACCTCTTGCCCCAGAAATCTTGCAGAGAAGCTGATAAGTAGGGCTCGTCGGACGGTGCCTCCAGCTCTAGACCCACCAGGGCTCGGACCGCGGAACTAGAGAGCGTCACCAGAACTTCAATTAGGAAAAACATCGCGCAACTATAGGCTATTTGTACAACTACGGGGTGTACAGTTTCTTCATATTTGGCTGCCAGCCCAAATAAAGAGAATAAAGCTAAGATCTCCGTTCCTAAATTTAAAAACCATGGCTTTTTCTTGGAGGGTCGGGAAGAAGTAGATGAGGGGTTGACATTTGGCAGCTTGGTTCTGATGGGGAGAGCACAGGAGGCGATGAAGATGTGCAAGGGCATGGATTGGTCCGAGGAGAGTGGACCTCGTCCAAAGGCAAAGAGGAGCAGCTTGAAGTTGCCGAGCCATGTTATGAAGAGTGTTGAGACACCTCTAAAGAAGATAATGGGCATGTAAAGAGGGAGAATTGTGAAGTGATAGTAGACGGGTAGGAGAAAAATCAGCCTCAAGAACCCTTTTGGGATTCTTGCGGCAATGAAATAGCAGTAACTGAGAGATGCTGGCACCGATGCGAAAGCAAAGATTGAACTCTTGATCTCGTCCCCCATTTGGAAATGGTTTTGCGAATTCCCCCGGACGGCGACCACTTGTTAAACAAGGCTTCTGTGGCGTCGGTGGGATGAGAGAGCTTGCTTTATCGGGCGGACTGGAATGAGCAAAGGAGCGTACGAAACTATTCCAATTTCCAACCGCCTGCTCACCTAAGTACTGGTGTTTAACGGATAATATCAGAAACCATCCCTGAAGTTTCTGTTAATATCATACAGGCTCCTTAAGATTTTAAAAATATCACTTACCTCCCCTACTTTTGTTATTTGTATCACAAAACTTTTTAAAAATCCTAAACTACCCTTTCACTCACTAAATAAATAAAAATAATCCCAAACCACTTCGTTTACTCCAATAAAACCATCGCCTAAAAAATAATATCTCGTAGTACTGCTATGTCACAGTGGTATGGTCCATAAAAATTTATAAATTTGAAAAACAAAAAAGATATTTGCAAAGAAATACACTGATATCAATTTAACTTTATGTGTTCAAAACCCATTTCTTGTGAACCTCATAAATTTTTTTTTCTAACTTCTTCTTAACTTCTGTCCAAACTTTTAAATTATAAAGATCATTAAAAAAATCAATTCAAAACAAATAAAAAATTATACCCCACACTATTATAATCACGAGAAGCAAACAATAAACAAAATTCAATTTTATCATAATTTACAAATTAAAAATTACATAGTCATCCCAAAAAAAAGTAAGAGAGAATGTTAGAGAAATTAGAAAGAGAAAAATGTGACTTTTGTTTTTTCTTTTTCTTTTTTTTTAAAAAAATTTTTGAACTTCATTTATTTGATATATGAATTATGTATCAAATGAAGGTTAATATAGTCCTTTTAAAATTATTAAGGGAAGTAAGTCATATTTTTTAAACCTTGGAGATGCCAAGTGATATTAAGAAAAATCTCTACTAAGGTTTATCCCTTAGTTTGATCTTGTGGTTTAACTTTAACGGGTGAGGTATGAAATGTGTGGACAGCATGAAAAGGAATCTAACTTTTGGCCATTTCGAAGTATATATTCCGTCATCGCCTTCTCCTATTGGTGTAGAAAAAAAAATTAAATGATTCAATAACTCTGAACATCTCTCGCTCAAAGACTGGGATTCAGTGCAGCTGCGTTTTGTTCTGTTCAATTGTTGCATTGCATGTGGGGTTTTCTATCCCACGTCGGATTGGGGGTGGGTTGTTTGGATAGATAAATCCCTCGCAGGACTTCAAAAATTGCCGGTTTTTAAAGTTACTGTAGGGATTAGATTTATTTGCCGAAAAAAATCTTACTTTCGTAAGAAAATTTGGGAAAAAAAAATTTTTGTTGCATTGCATGTGCACAATTTTTTGGCATATGAATAAATAAAATGCTAGATTAAATATATGTCAAGTATTTTATTTTTATATGTTACTTTTACTATGAATACAACAATGTAATATAAGTATATATCAAGTAATATAAAAAATATACCCTCCAACTGAAAAAAAAATTAATATAAAAAATATAGCCCCCCACGGGTTGCTCGGGCGGTCGTGTAGCCCTCATTAGGGTGAGACGGCCTGGGTTCGATCCCGAACTCAGCAACCCGGGGTAAATTTCCTGAAGATCGGTGGGGCCCGCTCTCCTTGGGGTTGGTGGGACTAGTCGGGTGTAGGCCCGGATATCCTCCAACTGAAAAAAAAAAGTAATATAAAAAATATAACAACCGGACTGAGTCGCACCGGTTTGTTTGGATTGTAAATTATTTGAGATATTTTTACTGTAGCACTCTTTGTGATGTGATGTATATGAGATAAAAAGATAATTGGGAAGATAAAAAGCTGTATTGGAAATTATAATGGTGATGTAAGCAAATATATTTGGAGAAATAACCCACTGTCCAAACAAACTTGGAACTCACTCAAACATGTCTTTTGGATTTTGGTTAACTTTGCTCGTACTTCATGACAGCTGGTTCTCTCACACATAACCAAAGTGTTGGGCAAATCCATCGGGCATGCTTGTGACCTTGGAAGCGGCATGTGATCAGAGCCCTAAAATGAAGTCCAAACCGAATCCAGTTGGAGCTACAATAGATTCGGCCCACCAATGCCCAGGATCCCAACACTACATTGAAGTGGAACATGAAATAAGTAGGGAAATTTGCCAAATTGGTCCCTAACATTTACCAAAAACACTTTTTTAGTCATTTACATATAAAATCAGCCAAAATGGTCCTTCACATTTAAATTGTGAGCCAATGTGGTCCTATTGCTCGTTTTTGCTCATTTCTCCGGCTAAAAATAGCACGCCTCTCTCACGTGGTTATATTTTTAGGGGCAAAACCGGAAACACATTTCATTACCTGTTAAAAGTAAAAGGTGTGGACAACCACCAAAATACACATTTCACCTTTGGCCCTCAAAGTTTCAAGAAACCCTAAATTGCATCCCACCGCCACGCCCTCAACTGACTCAGCCGCCTCCTCTCTCGCTATCCCTTCTCCTCTCTCCACTGTCTGTCCTCCCCCTCCTCATCGCCAGCATTTCTCCAACCTCCGGCGAGCTCTCTCATTCGACGATGATATTGATGCGATCGAGGGACTCGCAAGACGAGGGAGAGGATGAGGAAGAGCACCAGGAGGACGAGGAGGAGCTTCTCGAGCTAGAGCCCCGAATCGGATCTTGCCGGGTCCGGGAAGCTGCCGATGAGTTGTCTGTGGGAGGTGTTGAGGAGGCTCCCGCCTCCAACACTGTTGTCGGCGGCCATGGTTTGCAAAGGATGGAGGGACACGAGTAAGCGGCTTTGGCGGGCGGCGGAGGAGCTGAGGCTTAGGGTTCCAGCTAAGGCCAAAATTGGATTCGTGGGATCGATGTTGCACAAATGTCCTGGACTTGTTAGACTCTCACTTAGAATGGAAAGGTTAGGACTTTCGGATATAAGTAAACAAGAACCAGATCTATGGATTCATCAAGCACATCACTTATACAGGAGAATTACAAAATAATTTTCGCCACCATTCGGGGATGCAATTCAGGTTTCTTGAAACTTTGAGGGCCAAAGGTGAAATGTGTATTTTGGTGGTTGTCCATACCTTTTACTTTTAACAGGTAATGAAATGTGTTTCCGGTTTTGCCCCTAAAAATATGATCACGTGAGAGAGGCATGCTATTTTTAGCCGGAGAAATGAGCAAAAACGAGCAATAGGACCACATTGGCTCACAATTTAAATGTGAAGGACCATTTTGGCTGATTTTATATGTAAAGGACTAAAAAAGTGTTTTTGGTAAATGTTAGGGACCAATTTGGCAAATTTCCCAAATAAGTAATATATTTTTTTTTAAAAAAAAAAACTTTTTTTCCATATCGATTTCTGAAGTGGCACAAAAGCTGAACTCAACCACGATTAAATGACCTAACCACAATAAAGGTCCGAGTTTGGTCCAATGTGGGCTTGAACAAATTAAGAGCTGCGCTCTCCCTCTCTCTCTCTGGCCTCTGCTGCCGCGTCTTCTTGAATCGAACCAGTGGTGTGGTGGCTGGTGGGTTCGGTCTCGTTTGGTCGCTGGTAAAGTAGCCAGCAGCCCCGTAGCCTTTCACTAGCAGTTTGCGTTATCTTTCTCTCTCACACAGTCACACACTGAGACGACAACCCCAACCAACGAGAAAAGAAGGATAATACGAGAGAGAGAGAGAGAGAGAGAGAGAGAGAGAGAGAGAGAGACTTAACAAAAGACTGCACCACCTCCTCCACCTCCACCTCCACCTCCACCTTCATAAACATTTTGCCCTATTAATTTTTTTATAGTATTATTTTTTTTTGGGTTCAATTTACAGCTCTTTATTTTATCTTTGTTCTCTCACAAAGCCGCCGTACTACGTAAAGTACCTCAGATCAGATTCTCTCTCGCCTCTCACTCGATTTTGCTGTCTCTTGGGTAAGCACTATCTATCCCTTTTTTTAGCCCCTTTCAATTTGTATATATGGTATTATATAGCTGTTAATATATGTCTTTCTCTTTACATTAAGGGGAAAATTATCAGCTTTGTTTCATTTTGTGAACCTGGAAATCGGATTCTAGGGTTTGGATTTTAGAATTTTAATTGAAGTTAAAAGCATTCGATTTAAGGATTGCTGTATAAGTTGGTCTGTGTAGCTGCATATTTGCTGCATGTTTGATTGGGCATGCACTTTAGAATTTGTATGTTTGTAGTGGGAGAGATAGAGGTGAAGTTAGCCGGTGTGCCCGCATGTGCTTATCAATTCTGTGTCAAAACAAGCTAAATTGCTGTACGTCTGATCGCTTGCTTGGTTTGAGTTAACTTCGAAGACAATCACGGCAGATTACCCTGGCAAGTGTTGTTACAAATTGCATTTACGCTAACTGTCTCTATATCTTGCTATTTCTTATGCGACTTACTGATATGCGTTTGGCGAATGAATCTTGCCGAGTTTTTTTTCTTTTTTCTTCTTTTGTGGTTATAAGGTTAGGGTTTAGGTTAGATTCTATTGGCTATGATTCCCTAATTTAGCTGAGTGGATTGATTGTTCAGATATGGGTTTTCGGTTAAGTACAGTGCTTGTGTTTATCTGCCTTGTGGTGGATATTGTGAAGCTTGTGGGAGTCTAATATAAAATTTATATTTGTATTGACAGAAATTGCATGTGAAGATATTCTAGTGTAAATAATGGCTGTTGAGGCCTGTTCGACACCTAGTTTGCTGGAAGATAGCGATGAGGAGAATGCACCCTTAGTATTCAAGAGAACCAGCTCATCATCAAAGCAAAATCTATCTAACTCAGATACAAAGAAATTGTCATCTCAGAAGCGTGATGGACAATCATCTAGAAACAGTTCAGATGTATGTCCTGTGAATGGCCAAAGTTCTAGTGCTCAAACAGGTAGGGTAGTTTCCTCAGCCAAGACACCACCTGCCAAATCACCTCTTTCTAGCCCAAAAGCAGCAAATATCTCAGCCAAGACTTCATTGATTACGTCTCCTGGAGCAAATTCAAAACCATCTTCTTCTACATCTGCTACCGTGAAACAGCTGGAAAATCATAAAAATTCCCCTGTGGTTAAGCTTCCAAAGCCTTCTGTACCTGCTGCTAAACCGAGTAGCACCCCTGTGGATTCTGATGATGACAAACCA